CAATAATGTGAGAAATTCATGGGGTAGTGAAGAAACAGGAGGTGGGAGAAGGGGACTGTTACCCAAAGGGAATGGGGTATACCACACCACCAATGGAAACACCCCTAGCCCACCTTACGTGTAGAGCGGACAGGTCGACCAGTTGGCTGAGCACTCTTGTACTTTTTTTCCTGGCTCCTTGTAATAGGGGGGTTATGCCTTACTGTCCTTTCTGCTGGCACACAAAGTCCTCAGGAGAGTCCCATGGTAGATCAGGGGAGGGAACATTGTCATTGGCAGAACTTGCCAGTGCCCACAGGCTGAGGGGAGCTACCAGAGCTGATCTTGTGAGAAGGACCCCAGCCACAGCACAGGCTGTGTGAGTCTGCACGGGAGGGGCCGCAAGTGACCTCCAGGTCAACCTGGGGCCACTGTCAAGCACTTCTGCTGCCTCCAGGGATTATTTCAGGTACACACTCACCACCTTAGACTCCATCCCTCAGGCAAAGGACACAGCTTAGCTTTAATTCCAGTCACACAGAAGAGCTCCCCACATTTGCACCCATTTTCGAGGAATGTGTGCAGGCTGCCATGATTTATTCTTGCCACAGTTAGGCGTTTTAGTCTCTGCATCACACACAAGACAAGCTTCTGGGTTATAAATTGTATAACCCATACAACTCAGGGGCCCCACACCCAGAGACCTCTTGCTGGGCTTAATCTCTGGGGAAGCCCAGTTGAAATACTTCATTGTTTTTAGCAAGGGGCCTTGCGTTTTCATTTTACAGGGAGCCCCACAAATTCAGAAGCCAAACCTGAAAGCTAAGGGGTTCAAGATGGCTTTCTAACGAGAGTTGGGAGGACCTCTATTGAAATGTCCCTCTTCCGTAGGGCAGCTTTGGACCATAGGGATGGTTTTCCTTCCGTTCACTGGGCAGCGGAACTGTCACACGCCTCCAGGTGCAGGCAGCCACAAAAAGCTTTTGACATCAGATGAAGTTCACTGTCCTACCAAAACTCTAGCTTTGGCCTTGCTCACTGTCTTCCCACCGTGGGTACAGACAGGTTCCTGGCCTTGCAAGATGCCTTTAAGTTTATAAACAATACCACCCCCCCAAACACTGGTTCATAAATCCTCCAATTTGTGAGCTTAATGTGTTGTGCAGCATTTAACAATTTCCTTAGCATAATTTGATTAAGGATGTGCAGGATTGCATCTGATGTCATGAAACCCAAGTCAAGCCCTGTAATCTCTGTTATTAAACACTTGTACTTGAGATTCCCAGCTCTCAGTGGCCTGAACTTGAACTGCAAAAGGTTCAGCTGGGAGGCTGGGGAACAGACGACCAGTGCCACTCTTGGCCTGGGCTAACTGAAGGGCCCAACCCATCACAAACCTCCAGCTCTGCTTCCAACAGCAGTGGACATTCCCGATCTCTTCACATTGGTGCTGGCCCACAACTGCCACTAGTTCTGACAAAATAATTGACCACTTGCTCGCCAGGGCAGGCAGGACTGAGTGCCAATCTCACCCACATACACATTAGCCAGACTGCCAGGCAATGTGGAAAGTCAATGGTATGTATGTGTATGTGTGTGTGTGTGTGTGTGTGTATGTGTGTGTGTATAACCTGACCCACACTATGTTGAGTGTCCTGAAGGAAGAAACTCTGGGGTGTTTAATGGACACCTTGTCCATTGGCATAGCCTCAGTTAAGACTGAACTTTTTTCATTTCTTTCCATATTTTTCGAAGCTCTGGAGATGGGGTTTCAAGCACGATCTTTATTTTCTGCCCAGACCTCAGGAGTGTTGACTAAATGATCCCACTCAGATGCTCATTTTTTGCAAACCAGCAGCCATAATCCAGCTGAGTATGACACGGATCCTAGGCGGAGCTCACCAGCACGGGACAGGGGATGTGAAGGGCAGTGTCTCTATCAGCCACCACAGAGGACAAACCTCCTGAAAGTGGCTTTTCCGTGCCACAGGTGAATCTACTTCCCAGGCCTACCCCTGTGTTCAGGACTCGGTATATAACAACAGTACACATGAGGCTTCTGCAAAGATGAGCAACTTTACAAACCAACTTTATATAGGCTTGCAGCCACCCTGGGTTCTTGCCCTACAGCCCAATGGCCTTCTCTCCAGACTCAGCTTCTGTTTCGTCAGTGGAAGACACTGGTCTATACTGAGTCCATACCAGCAGAAGCTGGTCCCTAGTGGAAGCAGAGCCCAAGGTACGCTCACTCCCGTTACTTCAGCCAACTTTAAGAACTACCTGGCACTTTTCCCAAACAGGTAAGAGGTAGCAAACACATTCTTCCCTTTCCGAATGCTTTCAACATGCAAGTTACAGATCTTGTTCCCTTCTTGAATAAATCTTCATCAGAAACACTGGACTGGGGGATACAAAATTTGTCCCCGCCTGCCAGCCTGCCTGCCTCCCTGCCAGGTACCCACGGGTCCATCTGAATGAGGCCTTTGAGAGCTTCTGAGCTGCCTGAAACCCAAGCCCCTTGCCTGGCCTCTCTGTCCTGTTCCCAACTCACATTTGTTGGTTAAATGTAGACTCGGCGCCTACAACGGGCACTCTCATGAACAAAGGCATTCCGGAGTCAAAGGAGCCATCCAGAGCAAATTCAGCCCAGCAGAATTTGAAAACAGAAATCACCTGCCCGGAGGAAGATTTCCTCCTATGGTTAGACAGATTGCCAGGGAGGTCTGGGAGCCTCCGGATCTGGGGTTTGTCACCCTGGGCAGCTGGAACAGAGGCTGATGGCTTATCAGCCCCGAGAACACGGCCTTGCTCCTCAAACCCGGGGAAGCGGGGAAGCAGAAGATTCCTAAGAAGACTTGGGCTCCTGGCGGGAACAGCACGGAATCACTTTCCTAGAAGGCAGCCAGGAACAGGGAGCCACAATTCACTTTTTCAAATCACAGAGCTGGGGAGGGACAGGCCCGAGAGACAAAGCAGCATCAGGCACCAAACAAGGCAATTGTGGGCTGGGCGGAAACACAGGTCAGATCCAGTCCGGATGGGGTTTAGCTTCAAATTTCATCTGCACAGAAGCTTCCCTGGCTCTGCAGGCTCCAGAAACTCCACAGCATCTTTTTTTCATTTTAATACAGGATCCCCAAACACTGGGATGGCACTTTCATGCAAAGGCCTGGGATGGACTGAGAGAAACACGAATCTCAACTACTTACAAATCCTTCTCACAAAGCTCCAATGTGATTGCGATTGAGTGATAAGAGCTGCCTCTAATGCCACACGAAATTTGTTTTCAAATGGATTATTTTACGCGGAGTGGCTGCTTTCTAAGATGCTGTCTTAATTTCCTGTAAAACCTGTTTCATCTATATAGTCATCCGACATTAATATTTATTTTGCTCATTTAATTTTAAAGTGTTTAAATTCAAGCTCTTACAGATACTCAGCTGCTGCTGGAGGTAATTCAGCACAGACGCCACCATGAAAATATTAGCGAGTAAGATCAATGTCATAGCTGAAATCTGGCTAATAACACGATACTATTAACTAGTTTAGTATATTAAGGAGTAGCCATTCTGGAATGGGTTATAAAAACCACAGCTAATACATCTTTTTTTTTAAACCTCTGTGCTTCTTTATTTTGGAATTCTTAACAGTGTAGATTTCACAATGTAATCAAAAGTATACTTAAGAGCCATGTTGTGTTAAAATATTCCCCAGGTACATATTATTTTTTATACTTTCCCTAAATTAATCCCTCAACATTTAACCTACATTAAGGTAGGATTACAGAGCTCTCACAATAAATTATATTAAAATAGAGTCATGGTAAGATTCACTTGTACCGTATTTAACACGATATAATATAACTACACTGACTCTTGTTCCTTTGTTCCTGTTTTGGCCTCCCAACTTCGGATTGAAATAAAACCTCCTGCAGGATGCTTCCAAACAGACTCGGGACAGCAGAGCACAGCAACGAGCCCCCTGCAGGAAAAAAAAAACCAAGGGATTTCTCCTTGTAAATACAGATGCTAGTAGAAAACACACCAACTCGTAATTCACGACTCGTCATTCCCGGTAATTCATTTTCATCTCTGAAAGGAGTTTTCCGGCTAAAGCCTGCCACTGTCTGTAACATGTTACAGATTCTTTGCAAATTGATTTTGAAAACAAGATAAAGAAAAGCAGGCAAGTAAGCAGACCCATGAGCCAGCCGAGCCGACCGAGATAGATGCACATTCTCTGTGACTGTAAGGGAGGAGTGGAAAAGCCTGCCGTGCCCTTTCATTTCTCAACTGAAGCTTCCCTCCTTCATCCACCCAGGGCACAAACCTCGGCCAACACAAACACTTGACACTTTTCTAACCAAAGAAAAGATCATTACCACTTTCAGGTGACATTCACTTCTGAGGTCTGTGTTCTAGCCATCCAAAGTTCTTTTAATGACATGCTTTCCTTTTAAACACACACACACACACACACATACACACACACAATATCCCAAGCCCAAGCCCAAGCCCAAAGCACGGGTCTCTGTTTCAAGTTCCCTTGTTAAGGCAACAGTAATCAAGACTAAATACCTCCCACCAAATCCTCAAGGGGCTCCTTCTTCCTTTCTGGGCTCCAAGTTGAAGGGTAACATTGATCTGCCTCCAACCGGCCTGGTCGTGTTTTAACCTTCGGAATGGAAAGATCGGTTCCCGTTTGTGCACGCCGAACAGGCTCTGATTTCCACGGTGAAACTCCCCAAGTTCCTAGGGCTCTTACCAAGGGCTCGGGCCGCTGGGACGCGGCGGCGCGGCAGAGAGCCATCACAGTGGGGGACCGGTGGCGGTGGGGAAGCGCAGGGGGTGGGGAGGTCTGGGAACCTGGGAGTCAGCTCCAGCCCGAGGGTGGAGGCAAACAGCCAGAAGCACACTATTCATCATCTTCTTTATTAATACTCACAGATAACCCTCGCTCTTTACATCAAAGTCCAGTGGAGAAGACCGCCTTTTCCCGGGGCATTTCATGCCCAAAGGGGCTTTGTTGTTGTTGTTTTTTTTTTTTGCTCCGGACTGTCCCCCTTTCTCCACTCCCTCCCCCCATGTCAAAGCGACGCCTTTACAGGTTCACAGATACCACGAGAACTTTTGTAAACAAGGTTGGGGTCACTGGACCTTGACTTCCTCAACACCCCCCCATCAGAAACGAAGGTCGGTGGCGACGTGGGGGGAGAGAGGCGGGAGAGCAGGGGAGGGGATCGGTGAGGGAAAGGAGTGGAGGGGCTGAAGGGGAGAGGGAGGGAGAGGAAGGAAGGGAGGAAGGAAGGGGGAGGGGCGCGGAGGGAAAGGAGCGCAGGGGCGAGGTGGGGAGGGACCCGCGGGCCGGGGCCAGCGGGTCCGCGCGCAAACGCGCAAGCGCTCTCCAGTGGGTCTTGGCGGGGATGGGTGTGGCGCGCGTGTTGTGGCTGTTCCTTGAAATTCCATGACTCAAAACATCGACAGCAAGTGCCTGCGTGGTTATTTATACGGTGGATCTATAATAGGCTATGTGGGCTGCCGCGGCTTGGGTCTGGGCTGCTTTTGTGGAAACAACAGCCAGCTCCCGCCGGACGGGGGGTGTCTCGCGGGGCGGGGGGCGGGGGGCCCGCTCAGAGCCGAGGCTTCCGGAGCAGGGTCTTGCTGAGGTCCTTGACCTCCTCGGGGCTGCTGACGCGCTCGTAGCCCAGCAGGGCCATGGGCTGCGCGCAGAACTCCTCCACCTGCTTGATCTGCTGGAAGGTGAGCGCGCTGCGCCAGGCGCTGGCCGCCTGCGTGGCGTTGCGCGCCGACACCACGAAGGGCTTGGACGAGGAGCCCGAGCCGCTGGTCATGTTGAGGGCGAACTGCTCCATCTCGGGGCTCACCCAGAGCCCCACGAAGTCGTACACCCGGCGGAGGGTCTTGACGGGGTCCCCCACCAGGTCCTCGTACCGCACCACCAGGTAGTGGCCCTGCAGCCAGCCGGGGGGCTGCAGCGCGGTCTGCAGGGTTTTGGCCATGCTGTTGCAAATGACCTCCATGGCCCCCAGCGCGTGGTAGTCCGCCGGGCCCCCCACGCCCTCCTTCTTGGCGCCCAGCTTGTGGCCCGCCGCCTCCAGGAAAGGCATGCGGTGGGCGCGCGGGTCGCGGCTGCGGACCACCTGCAGGCTCTCCCGGATGAGGCCGTGGCGCGAGCGGATGCGCGAGCTGGCCACGGCGCGGGGGTCGCGCACCAGGTGGATGACCTTGAGGTCCAGGGCCGGGTCGCGCAGCAGCGGCGCCAGCACGGCCACGTCGAAGACGCGCACGCCCTTGATGACCAGCGTGCGGTACTTGCGGCACTCCTCCTCGAAGCGCGCCAGGCGCTGCGGGGGGCACTTCTTGCACACGCGGTCGTCCACCAGCCCCACCACCTCCTTGCGGTAGGCGGGGCAGAGCGGCGACGAGCACACCACCTTGTTGGTGGCCGCGCCGAAGATGCCCAGCGTGGTGAGGTTGCGCCCCCCGCTGCCCGCGGGGCTGTACAGCTGGAAGACGGACAGGTCGCAGCGGTAGAGCGCGCTCAGCATGTCCCGCGCCGCGCCCTGCAGCGACACGGCGTCGCCCGGGTACAGCTTCTGCCACACGTGCCACACGGGCTCGTACAGGAAGAACACCTCGGGGTTCTGGTTGAAGAGCTCGCCGAAGAAGGACGAGCCCGAGCGCCACGTGGTGAACACGTACACCAGCTGCCGCTTGCCCCCGCCGCCGCCGCCGCCGCCGCCGGCGGGCCCCCGCGTGCCGTTGCCCGGCGGGGCCGCGGGGCCCGGGGGCGCCCCCGGGGCCGCCCCGACGGCGGCGGCGGGCGGGCGCGGCGGGGTCCGCGGGTCCGGGCGCGCGTGCGCTGCGCGGGGCGGCGCGGCCGGCGGGGGGCCCGGGCGCTCCCGGCCGGCCCCCGGCGCGGCCGCCGGCGGCCCGTCGGGGCTACAGTGCTGCAGCGGCTCCTTGTGCCACTTGTAGTCCAGGAGGTTGAGCATGGTGAGCACCAGCAGCAGCGCGTAGCCCGCGCACAGCACCAGCGCCTTCCTGCGGAACACCTTCATCCCGAGCGGGGACGCGGGCCAGCGGCGGCCCGGGCGCCGGGGCCACGGCGGGAGCAGCGCGCGCGGCGCGGCGGGCGCGGCCGGGGGCAGGGCTCGCGGCGGGCTGCGGCTCATCACAGGCGCGGCCCGGGCCGGCGGCGCGGCGGAGGCGGCCCTGCCGCAGCCCGAGAGGGGGACGCCGCGGGCCGGCTGCGGGCGCGGGGGCTGGGGCCGCGGCTCCGGGGCGGGCGCGGCGGCGGCGGCGGCTGGTCCCCGGCGCCCGGGGCTGGCTCTCCCATGGCAGCGGCTCTCCCGCGCAGGACCTGCGAGGGGAAGCGGAGTGAACGGCTGCGGCCCCGCCGCGCCCCCCGCCGCCCGGCCCGGCTCCCCCGCCGCTCACCTGCGGTCGCGGGCGCGCCCCGGAGCGGCCCGGGATCGCGACCCGGCGCGGCGCCCGGCTGCGGCTCGGTGCCTCGCGCGCGCTCTCCGGTTGGGGTGGGCGCTGGGGGGCCCCGCGCCTCCGCGGGGCCCGACGGCCTGGGCCGCCCGGGGCCGGGGCCGGAGTTGCGGGCGGCGGGCGCCCTGCGGCCGGGAAGGGAAACTTTGCCCGGCTCCGGGATCGCGGCTTCCTTCTTCTCGCGGGGGGCGCGGGGGGCTCACGCGGGTCCCCGCGCCCGGCCGAGCCGCCCCGCCTCGCTCGCTCCCGGCCTCCGCGCCGCGGATCTGCCCGTGTCGCCGGCGGCCGTGGAGGGGGCGCGCGGAGCCCGGGCGGCGGTGGCCGCTTCCATCACTCGGAGGATGCCCGGGCGGGCATCGCCGCCGTCCCCGCCGCTCCGCCGCCGCCCGCCGGTTCCGAAGGACGCGGACACACGCCGATCTGGGCGCAGGAGCCCGGGCCGAGTGCTGCCCGGCCCGCCCCCGGCACCGGGCGCTTCTGGCCAACGAGGAACCGGGGCAGAGGAAGCCCCCGCCGCTGCCGCCGCCGCGCGCAAGCGGCGCCCGGAGGATGCTGCTACCCGCCGCCCCCTACGCCGAGCGGCTGCAGCGCGCCTCCCGCCTGCCAGCGCCCGGTTGGTGCGCGCCGCCGTCCGTCCCGCGGCTCCTCCCCTCGGCCGCGCCGCCCTCCTCCTCCTCCGCCCGGCCCGCGCCGGCCCCCGCGCAAGCCGGCTCCCGCGGCTCGCGGTCCCCGGCGCTGGGCCCCGCGCGCTCCGGCTCCGGCAGCTGGGACCCGGGAGGATGCGCGTGGCCGCCGGGCTCCCGCGCTGCCGGGGCTCGGCTCGAGGGAGGGAGTTGGCGCTGAAGTTGGGGCCGAGATCGCCGCCCCCGGTCGCCCCCTCCGCTCCGCCTCGGGTCTGGGCACCGCCCGAGCACCCGGGCGCCCCGCGCCGCGCTCTCGCCGAGGAAATGCTCAGTGCTCCGGATGGGGGGGAGGGGATGGGTCGGGGGCGGCAGTGCCCGCTTTCCTGGACCCGTTCGCTAGGGGTCCCCTGTGGTCACGGGAGCTGATCGCGCGCCCCGGCCACCCCGCCCCCCGCGAGGCCTCCCGCATCGCCACCCCCGCCGGTGCGCGCTCGGTGGGCTGAGCAGGGACCCGGGAGCGCAGGGAGCGGGGCGGAGGGCGATCCCCGACACGCACAATGGAACACGTCTGCCTGCTCGCTTGAGCGACATCAAAGCATCCGGCCCCCGGGAAGCCCTCCTGTGGGAAGAAGAAAGTCACTAGAGTTGCCCTGCGCACTTGAAGGCAGTCCGTCTCCCCCGCCCTCGCTCCCTCCCTCCTTCCCTCCCTCCCTCCCTCCGCCTCTCCCCGCCCCCCCCCCCCGCCCTGCTTTCTCCTTTTCTCTAATTCTCATCAAAGACGAAGCCACGCCTCACTTTTATCCGAAAAACGGGGACGAATCTAAGGGTTTGGATGGTAATTGGTGTTAGATGCGCGGGCGGGCGCAGGGAAAAGCGGGGGATGTCAGTGGCATCCTCTTGCTCTTTGCTTGTAAGACCTCCCCAAGCAACTGGTTCCCGAGCTCTTTGCGGGAGGATTTTCTTTAACAGCGGCCCTGGTGGGGCTGGTGGAAGTCGGACAAAGTCTTGGGTTTGAGGCTCCCTCCTCTGTATAAATCGTCCTGCGAGCCACGATTCTCAAGTGGGTCTGTGGGGGCCGCTGAGAACAGAAGCTCATTGCCTGGGAAATATTCAGAGAGCCTGGGGCAGCCCCTTTCCAGGACAACCCCTTTGCTCCTTCCCCACCCCTGGGGCTCCCTGGGGTCATTGGGTTTGATGGGAGTCCTGGGCCTAGCCATGGGACAGTGGGAACAGGCAGGCGTTTGTCTGCCTGCAACCCCGGTTCAATCCCAGCACAGATGTTGGTCCCCTGAGCCTGGCAGCAGGAATCCTGAGCTCAGAGCCTGGAGGAAGCCCTGCGCAATGCCAGGAGTGGTCCCCCCAAAAAACACGAAGAGCAGCTTCCCACTCTAGAAAGGAGAATGAGTCAGACAGATGTGTTTCACTGCAGGATACCACACACACACACACACACACACACACACACACACACACACACACCACAAGCACCTTCCTTCACCTGTTCATGGTTTCGATCTTCCCGTCCCTCCCTTCTTGACCCTCCCCACGAAAACAAAAGTTGTGCTGGCACCCCTTGGGAGACAGGGAGTTCCAGAGGAGAGCAAATCTCATTCCATTCCAGCATGATTCCAGGAGAAATCATTTCTAATATCTGTAATTTGGTCTGGGCCTGATGGTCTCTCAGAAGGCACCTCAGTTGCAGTTACCTGATGTAAAGACGTAAGCAGTTGTTTGCATAGGAGCAGTTTTGTGCAAATTTCCTCCCGCTTTACTAGAGTTGGAGAATAGTAGACGTGGTTGTCAGCCACCCCCACAGGGAGTGATACACTGGCATAAATTTGCAGCTTCCACCATCCCCACCCTCTCCCCGCAAGTCCTTTTAAGTCTTCCACAGTGTCCTTTGATTAATTCCAAACTCTTACAACTAATGAAATCGAAACATTTGCAGCGGCCACCCTCCTTCCCACTCTGGGTCTGAAGTCCCTTTTGCTTCAATCCTTTGAGCTGAGTGATGGCGCAGACATCTAATAAGCCCCATGATCATAATCATCTCGCTGGCAAGGGAGTCAGCCGTGTCACCGTGTCACAGGGCTGGGCTGCATCCGCTGCCCAGTTAGCCCCTGGCAGTCTTTTCCAGAAAATGGCTCCTGCGGCTTCTCTGTCACCTGGAATGTGGGAAGGACAGGGAAGTGAGCTGTGCTGAGTCATCAGCTCTTACACAGAGAGGAGATGGGCTCCTGAGGGTTCTCTGGGGCCGGCGCCCATCCTGTGACATGCGTGACAGACTTTCTGGAACTTTCTTCCAAGGTCTGCACTGGGGAGAGCTCTAACACTGGATTGTCTGAACATTCCCACCCAAAGCTGAGGGCTTCCCAGGTTCATCTTGAAGGTGAGGCTGCCCTGGGCGCCAAACTAAAACCTGACTCATCGGCAGCAAAGATGCCTTTTCAGGAAAACCTGAGTGCCTAGAATCAGTCTTGCATTCAAACAATCTATATCATCAGAAGTTCAAAAGTGCCCTTTTGAAAATACTAAAATGCATCCTCAGAGCCCAGAAACTCCAGAGGTAAACTCCAGTGAGTCTTTAAATGTACATGAAATGGTTAGGTTTTAAGGGGGCACGGGGTACTCACCTTAACTATCTCAAAAATAAATTGCCTAAATAGTCATATTTAGGTGATGTTGCAGAGTGATGAGAAGGGGGGAAGGGAGACCTTGCAGAGAATGCAGCCAGATAAAGTAAGACTGAGCAGACGGGTCCCAGGTGGGACCCACCCATCCATCCGTCCACCCATACATGGAGCAGGAATGGCGTGGACAGAGTCGGAAGGGAATGAAGGAGACGACACTCTTCCCTGGCTGGGGGACCGGGGCTCAGGCTTTCATACTCGAAACCCTCAGTTTGTTCTCCCTGACCTACCACTGAGGAGAACCCATTATGGTTTTCCTTATTTTCTTTTTTAATTTAAAAATCTCTATAAAATCTTCTCGTGAAAAAGTCAGATCTTAATGAGAGTCTGTCATACATTCAAGGGGTAGATAATTTCTGTGTTATAAAAACACCTTCAGAGAACAGAAAAATCGGAGGTACCCCCAGCTCATTCTAGGGGGGATTTGAGAGGAAATTTCCCCAGAAATGATATGGGGGGGGGGATAAATGGGTCCTTTTCACTGGTTGAATAAAACATGACTCTTAACTGTCAGCCAAACAAATGTGACTCAGCTTGGGAAGAGACAGTAACTAGGACCACATCAGCTCATCCCAGGAAAGTAGGGAAGACTTGATCATTATTAAATCCCCCAAAGGGACCAGGTGCTGATCTAATTCTCAGGAAGGGAGCAGAAGCGAAACAAGGCGGATTCATTACTCTCATCAAACTGACTATTTGGAGTAGTGGGAACACACACATACACACACACACACATACACACACACCACACACGCACACACATGCACAGGCTTTAGAGAATGGCAGGGACACTGGATGAAATAGAATGGGTGATATTGCAGAGTGAGGAGAAGCTGTTGTAAATGCAGGAGAAGGACTTTGTCAAAGGGAGGTGATCCTTGCAGAGGACAGTAAAAGCAGGGATGAGCACCACATGCAAAGTCCTTGCGGGTAGGATCCACCCATTCATCTATCCGTCCATCCATCATCCATCCATTCATCCATCCATCCATTCATTCACCCAAGTTTGCATCCATCCAATTATGCATCAACCATCCATCTCCCCATCCACCCGTTCATTCACCCATCCATCCATCCATCATCCATCCATTCATCTACCCAAACATCCATCCATCCATCTATTCATCCACCCATCCATCTGCCCACCTAGCCATTTATTCATCCATCCATCTATCCATCCTCCCAATTACCCATCCATTCTGCACTTACTGATCCCCTGTAGGGTGCCAGGCAGCCTAAACCTTATTAGAGTCCGAATGATGGCTAATGTTACTGCCTTCTCATGCCACATTGGAGCTCTAACAAGATGGCCCCTTCTCCTCTCAGAGTACCCCTCCCCATTAACGTCTCCAGAATCGGTTTCTGTGACAGTCCCAAATT